CTGATTTTATGATTAGCAGGGATTACATATAAGTAAACTATTGAATACATTTTCTTACCTCTTTTGTATGCTGAAATTTCATTTAAGATTATTTAAGTATGGTATTCAGTTGTAGACAATAAAAATACACCTGAAAAGTGTTAGGAATTTATTGAACTATGTAATAATAACAATTATTTCATTAGATGGTTATTTGATTATCCAACTCTGTTGCTCATTTTGTATCTCTAAAAAAGGTCACAATCTTTTAGGAATCTGTGTTAAGCAAATTGACAGATTGTATAGTTTTGCTCTCTCATTTCACAAAGGATGGAACTGGGGCACTCTTAAAATAAGTATGGTTAGGCAGTTTCAGGAATAATTCATGTGAAATTTAGAGAGAGACGAGGTACCATGTAATGAGCCAGACCTGTGGGATTAACATTTTCTCTTAATGGGGAGACATATGTCCCAGGCAGATCACAGCCCCAGAGGTGAATCTCATTTACCTATAACTGAAAGCTTGTCATGAGTAGTGCCAAGACTTGAATTATCTCAGAAACATTTGTAAATGCACCTGTGGATGAACAATGATGACATGAAATAATTGTACTATAAGAATGATTCCTCTGTATGTGTGTGTGTGTTTGCTGTCAGTTAAATTGGAAAGAGGACACTGGATGACTGATTGGTGAGGTGTTTGGCACAATGGTGTAAGGGACAGCAAAGTAAGAAGTCCTGTTTCTAATCACAGGTGTTTCTCTGAATCCTGATAATCTTGGATAAATCACACTGTGCCCCTTACTTTGCAGAAATGTCCAGAAAAAATATCAAGGGGTATATATTCTCTAATGACAACCTAGCTCCACAATTCTTGGACTTTATGAATTTTTTAGGTCAAAACTTGATAATAGGTTAAAAAAAATCACTACCTTGCATCTTATAACCCAGAAAATATCAAAGGAAAAGTTCAGATTTTTGGTGCTTTGCTTCATTAAGGTTTGAGGCATGGGATACTAGTGATGGTGATGGTACCTCATATTTACTGAGCTATCTTTCCTAGTAGGCATGCCCCTCTTCTCTGTCCTGTCTTTTCACCTATGTCATAGTGATTGATTACTGATGAGATGGTTATGAGGGTACCATAGTCTCAGTTATCTCAGGAAGGAAGAGTAAATGGTTGAAATCCACTGGTAAGCCCTTTACAGACTGTTGAGACATGCATCAGATGTGGCCAGTGGAGCTAGAGTTGACTGCAGAGATGTAGACTAAGAGTGTGCCATATTTGTCATCATCAATCAATGTCTTCCTACCTTGGTCCATTTGAGCTGCTATTACAAAACACCACAGACTGGGAAGCTTATAAATAACAGAGATTTATGTCTCACAATTCTGAGGGTTGGCAGTCCAAGATCTGTATACCAGCCCTGTGGGGTTCTTGTAAGGATCCTCTTCTAGTTTGTAGACAGCGGACTTTTCACTGTGTCCTCACATGGTGGAAGGGGGAGGGAGCTCTCTGGAGCCTCTTTGGTCAGGGCACTAATCCCATTCATGAGGGCTCCACCCTCATGACCAAATCACCTGCCAAAGGCCCCACCTCTTAATACTTTGAGGGTTGTATTTCAATGTATAAATTTTAGGAAGACACAAACATTCAGACCATAACATTTCCCCCATGAACAACACCTGAAAACCCAGGGTTTTCAGAGAGGACCCTCACACCTCCTTCAACCCTCACCACCAGGAGAAAGATGACTTTGAACTTTACTGTACAGTCTTCCTGTTCATAGCTCCACAGAGCATCATGGACACAACCACCCTCTTTCCTCAATGGTATGAAGCCTTCCAGCTCTTCCTTAGTGTATGAGAACCGCCTTTCTAGAAAGTTCTCAGAGACAACACTGTAGTGTGTGTGTTCATCCTTGTATGTGTGTATGTGTATGGGACAGCGGAGGAAGAAGAAAGAGAGAGTGAGAGAAAGAGGTGGCCTTGCAATATCATCAAAGCTCTCAAGTAATTCATTGATTAAAAATACAAATGGCTTCTTTATTGGGAACATTTGCAGAAAAACATTTTTTTTTCCTTAAAAGAGCCAGTGAGCTTGAAAGAGTGTGACCACTGGGTGCCAGAACGATGACAAGATGAACAATGTTGTCTTTTTCAAAAGCCTAGTGGTGCCACTGCCATCCGCCCCGCCCCCCCCCCACCCCGACAACAACCCCATCACCTGAACACAGAGATAATTGCACCTGCTTATGCCTGAAACCTGCCTGTGCTGGAAGGCGGAAATGCTCTTTCCTTCTCCGTACAATGGAGAAAATGCTGAGAATTTCAACATGTCTGAAAATGTTAATATTTTCCATAAACTACCTAGAAGTAGTTACTGGTAATTAAGTGCTGGTCAGACACCATTCTGTGTTTCCTTTGATTTAAACCTTAAAGCAACATCAGCGAGTAGATGGGACAAGTAGCTCCATTTTACAGATGAAAAGTTGGAAGCATAGTGTGCCCACCTTCCCTCCCCATGTAGTTTGGTGACAGAGCTTTGGCCTTTGCACAAATATCCTAGGCAACGCTGCATCCTATAGTAAAGGGGCAGTGACTGCTGGCAACTTCCTGCGGCCAGAAAGCCCATGATGAAACCAGCCTGGGGGTAGGGAACCATGGTGCTCGTAAGAGGCTGTGAGTATGTCATTGCCAGTGATTGCCTCTGGTGCCTCTTGTAAGCCCCTCATCTGAAAGATTTATCTCTGGGTAGGTATGAAAGTGAAAGTAAAGTCAGTAAGTCATGTCCAACTCTTGGGACCGCATAGACTGTAGGCTACCAGGCTTCTCCATCCATTGGATATTCCAGGCAAGAGTACTGGAGTGGGTTGCTATTTCCTTCTCCAGGGGATCTTCCTGACCCAGGGATCAAACCTGGGTCTCCCGCATTGCAGGCAAACACTTTACCATCTGAAACACCAGGGAAGCCCTGGGTAGGTATAGATTTCTAATTTCTCTTAGAAGCACTTTGCTGGTGTCTGTTTCACATCAGGTGAGATCTTGGCAGCTCTTTGTATTCTAGGTAGCCTTCAGTGGTGCTTCCCTTGGCAGCCTGACTACACTCCTCTGTTCCTGCACTGAATTCATCTCTGAATTCATCTTCCTTCCCCTTCAGGAAGATGTTTTCTGTTGGACATCTTGCCTGTCCATAGTGCTGGGCTAAATAGAAGTAGTTCAGCTTCCACATTCCCTCTTCAAAGGCATCCTCAGTTCTGTATAGTAATAGTGTGAGTCGTTCAGTTATATCCAACTCTTTGCAATCCCATGAACTGTAGTCCACCAGGCTTCTTTGTCCATGGAATTCTCCAGGCAAGAATACTGGATGGAGTGGGTTGCCATTCCCTTCTCAAGGGGATCTTCCTGACCCAGGGATTAAACCCAGGTCTCCTGCATTGCAGGCAGATTCTTTACCAGCTGAGCCACCAGGGAAGTCCTCTGTAGAGGTCTATGATTTGACCGTAAGAAAAGAGATGGGAAGTGTTCCCTCAATGGCTCTGTGGTGGAGGTGCCATGTATCATGCACTTTATTGAGCTGGCCAAAATGGAAAAACCTGAATGAATTTTTTGGCCACCTCCATATTTCAGAGGTTGAATTGAAGGCACAGAAAGAGCATAGTGAGCATGCCATTGTAGTGGTTGGAGAAGTGATTTTCAACGTGCAAGCTGGCTGTGTTCCCGTTGAGGGGGTACATAATTGTGAGAAACCTGAGTGCCCTGGGGGCAAGGGCTGGTCCTCCTGAGACCACCCTGAAAGTGAACTAAATCCCTTTCTTCCTCCAGCAGTGTGCGCCTACATGTTTTTGGAGCCGGAACCATCCCTGTTTGTGCCTGCCATCTGCATCCCCACCATCAAGATGTTTCTTGGTTCTCTCAGGGCCATGCCCATGGCTATTGTGGCTGTCCCTTGTCACCTCCTCTGGGACAGCGTGCTCACTTCCAACATCTGCCCACCTCCACAAGAGAGTGAAAATCGTTTACATTTGTTTCTTGCTGGTGTTGGGAGAATTGGTATTCTCTTACCTTGAACTATCCTATTATAACAGTATCCTCAGCTTCTCGGAGACCCCTCCCTGCACGCAGGCGTTCTTGAGGTCTGCTCTCCACTCTGTCAATTTCTCCCTGCCATCACTGTTCAGCCCTGGGCTGACTTTCCCATCCATCCGTCCCTCAGGTGCTGCTCTGCCGCCCCAGCTTCTCATCTGCATGATGTTAAGATGTTCTTTCATGACTAAAGTTGGAGATCAATCCATTGTTTCTAAAAGCTACAGCAATATGATCCAAAGTCTCATGTGGCCATATCTACGTTTTTCGCACATGCTCTGCTGATCTCTCTTGCATATTTCATTGTTGTTCCTCTTTATTGTTGAAAGCTGATCATTTCCTTTTCTCTGATTCCCTGTTTCATGCTTAGGCAGCCAGAGATGACCCTTTCAAACCCTTGATGGCAGATAGACAAGTTCATGCTTCTGAAGTTATCACACACAGAGTCCATCCAGCGAGGTAGAGAGCTATAATAGTCAGACCATTGGTGAATTCAAAACCTGGATGTGTTTTAATTATAAAACTTGGTGAATGCAGGTGACCCATCAGGATGAAGCCTCACGAAGAGTGGTTTTGTATTGTCTTGCTGAACTTAAACTTAGTTTCAGAATTGAATACCCACGTCCTTTTGTCTGAATGGAATTCTGTGAATTCAGAGAGCTAGTTAGTAGTTTAGATTTACCTTAGTTCCCACCCCCTTATTCCTTAGCTTTCTCGCCAATCTCAAATGTGTGTTTTTGTTGATTTACTGAATGTCTCTGAAATCTGAGTTCCAAGGAAAACTGTGTTACACACAGTCTTAGCAGGAGATTGCTTTGGAAGCCAAAAATCATTGTTGCTGCCTTTTTTTTTCTCTTGTTCTCGTATTTTTTTATGAACTGTAATTTTTTTTAGACCTATTGAAAATGAAACTGTTCTCTTTTTGTATTTTGTAGAAACTACCTCTTCAGGTTACAGCTGGAGGATTTGTCTCTGATCCAGGTAGGTGCAATTTATTTTTCTCGAGCTTTTGTTTTCCATCCTAATTAGCTCTGTGTTTAAGGGGGTGTACATCTGTGTTTAGATGTACGTGAAGGTGTAAATCAAGTCAGAGGAGGTGTTCCTTTCCTCAAAAGGTCAGGCTGCGGAACTCTTGGCTGACCTATTAGACATGAGTCCTCACCCGCTTTAATTCTCAATTAGCCCTCTTCCTTCTGGGCAGCCTCTTTTCCTTTCATGGAATCATCCTGACTTACTCTACATCAAATGAGAGCTAATTCAATGGATATTTCCTCAATGTTAGGGAGTGACCTTTCCACCCTAGTTAATCATTGATTATTCAGTTTGATTTATCCAGCCATCATATTATCAAAATCAGCTCCCTTAGAAAAACATCTCTGTTTCTTCTTTATTATATGCAATTAAAAAATATGACTATATGGCTTAAAAACCACATATGATGAAGAATTAGCGATGAGAGATAAAAATGCAGTTTACCTAGATTTTTTTATTTTTGTAGTTTGGAGGAGGAACCTGAGATGCTTAAGCCTGAACAGTGTATATTTTAATGGCAGATCTGAATCACAAAGGCCCTTTCAGTCTTTAGCAGAGTCTCTTGGAGATGGACAGGGTCATGGCATAAATATCTCCTCTACCAAGATTCTGGAACTCCCCATGAAGCACAGAATCCTTGGGCTGTATATAGTTGGGAAAAATTCTTTAATCACCCTCACGTACTAGAGTTCTAAGAAGTGACTAGCAAGAAGTTCATGTTATTTTCTTCTCTTTGTGATGCTGGTATTTGTGAACATTCAGGAAACTTTAGAGTTAGGATTTAATATGAAATTTAAGTTTTATTTACCAGTACCTTAACATAAGCCAACCTCCACAAGAAAACTAATATCAGCAAACACTTTAAGACCAATAGAGCTGGGTTCGTTATCTAGTTTCATGACTACCAGCAATTGTGGGTTTCCTCATCTGGAGAATAGCCACAAAACAATACCCACTGTCATTGCTGGAATTAAATAGTGTATGCATAAGGCGTAAGGCATAGTCATTTTGTAACAAATGTTAATTGTTATTGCTTTTTGAAAGTGATGGCAATAAATAATAACTTCTTAAATCATTTTATCACAGTGGACAATGAATCATCTCTCTACTGCAATTTGATGTATAACTAAAGTCTTTGAGTTGATCATTAATGAAATTATGAATGTATTAATAAGAAATCAGAATGACCAGCAGTTTAACCAAAATAGCATTTGGTTTTAAATAGTCTTTTATAAAATATGTACATTATTCAATAGATAGGTTTATTCTCATTTTGATTCTCATGGTATAATATATTATTTGGCATGTTCTATGTGTTGAAAAAGTGAAATGTGTAGATCTGTGTGTGTACAGATATATATGTTTCCATATATATATCTGTTGATTTCCTAGTTCCCTAGCACCCTTGGCTAAGAAGGTCTAGAAGTATTGTTATTCCAACAGCAATGAACACACTGAACAATATCTAGTACTTGGTTTCTAAATATAGTTATCCATTAAGAAGAGACAGGGCTTCTTAGAGAAGTAGCTGATTGTTGCGTTTAGGCAAAGAAAGTCCCAGATAAGCCTGGAAGACTTTCTTGTTTCAGAAATTAAAGGATTGTTCAAAGAATGGTGGGAGCAGGTCAAAAGGATCTAAGAGCCAGCTCGATGTGGACTCACTGAAGAAATCTGGGACAATTTGATTATTAAAATAATGATAGAATCAGACTAAAACACATTGAATTAACTAAGAATCCATGAGTTAATACTAACATAAAAATGCATGAATGAGTAAACAAATGAGACAAATGGACTGCTTTTCCTAATTCTAAAATACCAACTAGGAAACACTGAGTGAATGATTTAATTAGGAAATTATCATTTGGCAATGATCACATGAAAAACCTGATTCAGGCAAAAGTGATCAATGGATGCTAAATTTATGAGAGAGAGTTTGATGATGACCAAGGTATCCATATAGTCTCAAAGTCTTTACCTATAGAATTCTTATTAATTATAAGAGGAAAACTTGTGACTTGATCCTGAAGAAGTCTGGCCACTACTATGATAACCAACTAGTTAAGGTACTTTCACTATAATGGGACAAAGAGTTAGTATAAGCTTCCTGATTAGATGCACTGAAAAGGCCACAGCAAGATTTCCATATTACAGCCAAAAATCATAACCAGTTTCATCATGAGGAATCATCACACAAGCCAAACATGAAGGCCATTCTACAAAACACTGGTCTCTACTGTTAAAAACTCACCCTCACAAAAGCCATAAAGAGTAAGAAGAGGTATTCCATCCTAAAGAGAAAAAATGCATATGTCACGCAAATGAAACACTTGATTAAAATTGTATCTTGGAGCAGGAAATAAGTTTTTACTTGCTATAAAGGATGGTACTGGGACGACTGGTGAAATTTTAATGTCTGGGTAGAAGATGGTAGGAATGTATTAATATTAATGTCCTGACTTTGATAACTATAATGTTATCAAAATGTCTTTGTTCTTTGGAGAATGTCTTTGTTATTTGGACAAACCTTCTGAGATAAGTAAGGGTAAAGTTTCATTTCTGAAACTTATTCTGATTTTAAAAAATTACCATATGTGTATATATATTACATTGTTGTTGCTTAATCACTAAGTTGTGTCCAACTCCTCTGCGACCCTGTGGACTGAAGCCAGCCAAGTTCCTCTGCCCATGAGATTCTCCAGGCAAGAATACTAGAGTGGATTGCCATTTCCTCCTCCAGGGGATCTTCTGAACCAGGGATTGAACCCACGTCTCCTGCATTGGCAGGCAGATTCTTTTACCACTGAGCTACCACGGACGCCCATATATAGTGTATATACATATATGTGTTTATGTATATACATGTTCACACACACATGCATGCATGTAGAGAAAAAGAATCATAAAACAAATGTGATAAAATATCAGTGAGTAAGCTCTAGAAATCTCAGTGAAGGATTTATGAGGTCCATTGGGCATTTCTTAAAAAAAAAAAATCCATGTAATTTCGGAAGAAATAATGCAAAAATAAGGAGACGCGTTTGTCATTACCGTGTGTATGATGTTCTCTTAGGGACAGGGGAACTAGCTGTACTTTACCCATGGTTGCTTCTCGTTGTCGTGTCTGACTTTTGGTGGAAATCAGGTTGAGGTTATTGATGACATAAGTGTTCTTATTGAGGTTTGGAGAATTCATTAGCATCACCACCTGGCAAGAGAGAGCCTGGTCTGCTGACACAGGGCCAGCCAGGAAGGCAGGGACTGTCTGTGCGGAAGCTTTGACAACACCGCCCTCATCACAGATGTCAGACGCGGCATTGTGATCAGCACACACAGTGCGACCCTCCTCTGCCACGTTTTGCGGGTGTATTTGGTACTCGGCTTACTGCAGCTTGGAGACTTCCCTCTAGAAATTCTTCATACAGAGTTTTTTCTTATACGTCAATAGTTAAGTTGTCCCTTTGATTTCTATGACTGTTTTATTTCAACTTAAATGACTATTTCCAAGGGTAACAATGGGCTTCCTTGATTGGCTCAGTGGTAGAGAATCCAACTCTCAGTGCAGGAGACATGGGTTAGAACCCTGGGTCAGAAGATCCCCAGGAGGAGGAAATGGCAACTCACTCCAGTACTCTTGCCTGGAGAATCCCCATGGATAGAGGAGCCTGGTGGGTTACAGTCCATGGCCTTGCAAAGAGTTGCAGACAGCTGAGCGACTAGAAAACAACAAGGGTAACGAAAAAGAGTTGGCACGCTGATGAAGAAAGGGTTATAGTGCCCGGTAGAGACATTATGTGATCCTCATGGACAGTTTAAGGTTATCTGATGACCACATTGAAACAAGTAATATGAAGCATTATTTTTAATTGAGGTATAGTTTTAGAATATATGTCAAGTGAACCCCATATTGATACACAATCCATAATTTTTAAAGGCTGTATTCCATTTATAGTTATTATAAAATATTGAATATATTCCCTGTGTTGTACAATATATCTTTGTAGCTTCTTTATTTTAAACATAGTAGTTGGTACCTCTTAATACCTTTGGGGGGAAATTATTTTTAATAATATATTTTACTTAACTCATTATATCCCAAATATTAACATTTGACCATGCAGTGATTACAAAAAAAAAATAATGAGCTACATTTCTGTATTTTAATTGTATTAAGTCTTCAAAATCTGGTGTGTATTTCACTCCTAGAGAACACATGGGTTTGAAATAGCCACCATTTAAGAGTGGAAAAGCTCTTTCTGACCAGTTGGACTGTGCCCTTTGAGATCACGAGGAGCAGTAGCATTTAAGACTTCCACGCCTTCAGTTATTTGTAGAAATAGTGTTTCCTCCAGGGACCACCTGGATTAATTGAATATTTTAGGCTATAAGTTTTCTCCTTTCCTCTCTCCTCATAGATAGAAAATAATTGCTTAAACATGGGAAAATCAGGGAGCAGAGCCCAGAAAGGAAAAGCAGTTTGCAAAAACAGTGGAGAGAATCGGGGCTGGGAATCAGTGACATTCCTTATTTAACACCAGACAAAGCTTCATTTGATCTGGCCCCTTCCTGCCTGACAGGAGGGTCCACTTCCAGTTGGCAGATGTCTTGGGATGCTTCCTTGGGTCTTGGAACGACAAGTTGCTCAAAACTTCCCAGACTTGGGGCCACTTTCCAACTCTCAGCATCTACTCAGGTCCTCTTTCTCATGAACAATTTTAATCCCATTCTCTTCTCAATCTAGAAGATGTCAACCCTTGGGTCTCACTTTAACTGTCACCTCTTTGTAATCCACCTTGAGTCTGTTTGGGCTGATGCTCCTGGAATGTGTTTCATAACCCCAGCTTTTATCCTTGATGATTTCCTCTTGTCTCAGATTGAAATTCTGTCTGTGTTCTTTGGAGCATTTGATTTCTTTGTGTCTTCAGGATTATATGAAAGTTGATCATTAT